GCCAGCATAGCTCTCTATAATGAACAATTTCTAACCTCCACACACCAATCCCCACCCCGCCCCCAACAACCACCGTTGACGCCCAGTCAGGCCCCACAAGCTTGACAGACAGGGGTTGGCCGTGATTTGGTGTGTGTGTGTGTGTGTGTGCAGGTGGGGGAAATAACAGTAAACCCAACTAACGCTCAACGTAACATAAATCATAAATATTTTAAAGTTTCAAATTACCAGTGGCAAAAACAATCAATGCGACGAAGTCCCCCGTCTCAACTCCCCGCCCAGAAAGCACAAGGGGCGCTGTCACAGATGTCAGCATTTGGAGTGCCCCAGGGCAGGAGCATGAGCAGGGTTAGGCGACGGGGTAGGAGTAGGGCAGGGCAGAGCACAATCAGCCTAATCTAATGAGAGCCAATGCCGCATTTGGCAAATTTTTTGTAAGCGGATAGCTTGACGAAACTGTTAAGAATCTGTTGAAAAATTTATAGAGTATGCGTGAAGATATTCAAGATATACAAATCATATAGAATCGAGTCAAAAGAATGACACAAACGAGTCCAATAAATTATTAATTGAATACAAGAGCTAATCTACCGTTAGATATAGAATATAGTAGTAGTAGTAGTAGTATATAGTAGTATAGTAGTCCGATCTCAAAGATTTTTGTTCGCAAATGTGAGGATCGTTAAAATAATAATAATTGGTTAAGTGTGGATATCTTTTATATTTCATTCATTTATATACAATATTTATATTTATATCATTTATATGCAAAGCTTATTATAAGAAATTTCACTAAATACCACTTTAGAAAATTCTTAGCATACAAATTTTAAAATGTATTGAAAATGTTCAAATATGAATTTAAATCGCTTAAATATTTTTGATCATTCGTTGACTATGTTTATCGGTTTGTGTCGACCTTTTATTAATACCATTTTCTGCTGATAATAGACGATGGCTCGTGATGACTGTTGGACAGTTCTTTAAATAAAAATGTAAATAAATATAAATCGAGCCGAGTAGCTCTGCTTTTCATTCACAGTATGTACTTAAACTTGATGTCAAGGGACCCACCCAACCACCCAATCAGGTTCTGTGAAACCCAGGTGGCAAATGAGGGGAGGGAGTGCTTACTTACTTACTTACTTGCCTGCCTGCTTACTTATTCACTGCGCCAGGCAGTTATGAATATTACAGAATGCCAAAATGTCTTGTAAGTTCGCTCAAGTATGTAATATGCTCGCACTTTTCATTTGCCCGGTAACCGTTACCGTTACCATTGTCGTTGTCGTTGTCGTTGCCGTAACCGTTACCGTTAGTGACAGTGTAAAATGGCGGCATCTTTCTGACTGCCAACCTGTCCATTCGCGTTTTTTTTTTACGGTTAACGTTGCAATTCATATAAAAATAATTATTTGCAAGCGCACATTCATTATATGCAATGGCAACCCTGGCAACAAAACGCCACTGCACCGGCAAATGATATTAAAAATGCAATTTGGCCAAAAAAAAACAACAAAAAAAAAAACAGAAAAATGCGTACTCCTTGGCTCCAGATCCAGGATTCAGCAGCGGCAGCGATTCCTGTCTCCAGTCTCGACTCACAGCCAACCTCAACCGCTACGCACTTTGTAATATGCAATACGCATTTGCAAATTGCATTCCAACTCGTTGAGTTGTTATCCCGTTGTCCCGTTGTCCTTTTGACAACTCAAGTTGCAATTGCGTTGCAGGACATCGTCATTGTTGGGGACATGAGCATCAAATTAAACGCCCTGGCAGCGCGGGCAATAAACATTAATAAAAATCACACAAAAATTGCGATTCGCCAAAGGTGCAGCCGGTAAATGAAAATGGAAATTGCTCATAAACAAGTCCATCAAATAAAGTGCACACAGCTGAAATTGCTAAAGACAATAAACCGAATACAAACAAGTTAAAGAATATTGCATTTCCCATCTAGCCGACGGCTAAATACTCTCTGAACAAAGCGAAAAAATCAGCTAAAAAATCGGAAAAGAAAATTGTTTTGAAACTATGAAAATACAATGAATTTTGCGGCATTTGTTTAGAATCTGTATTAAGAATCATTTAGTACATTAGACAAATCATTAATTATTGGATGCTGCAATTTAAATTCAAATATACTCTCCTGATCAACTTTTTTCTATATATTACAAATCGTTCCGTACAGTTATAAAACTTCTGAAGCGTATAGGAAACGGAAGTCATTGGTGACTTTTGGCGTTTAACCACAGAACGTTATTAACAATGACGCAGAAAATACTCATATATATATATATAGTATATATAGTATGTATATATATATATATACTCCCAGATATATACGCAAGAGGGCGACCACAGCAGACTATCAAATTTTAATACGCCAGCCAGCAGCTTGTGCCTTTATTTCATAAATGTTTAATGAAATTAAGCGGCAAGCTTTTTGTGTGAGCCGGCCCAACTGCGTCCTGACGGCCTGTACCGTTCGTCCTTGTGTCCTGGCTGGCCAAAAAAGCGTATTTCGATATAAATCATAAAGAGTAAAAAACATAAGTAAGCCAGACAGTTACCCAAGCCAACGAGCATTACGTTATTTGCATACCTTTTTAAACGATTTTAAAACTTACTTTTTATTCTGATTTTATTTTATTTGCGTGCACTCTAAACCACAACTAAAAGTGCGGCTGCTTAATTATGCAATAAGCGGTTTTTATATATGCTTTTGATTTTAATGAGCGCTAGGCTACAGTCACACAGATGCACATATAGTCACACACACACACACACAGACACAAACTCATAAATATTTGAAAAGGTCAACGAAAACGAGCACACAAAATACGAATTATACTTCCTGCAAACATGAGTCAGGTCAGGCTTGGGTGGTGCTGCTGGCAATCCACCCCAAACACCCAAAAAAAAAACTATATGCAATGAAAAACTACACAAGAGTGGTAACCGAAAAGAGTTGGGGTTTAAATAGGACAGCCGTGTATGTCATAGATGCGAAATCAAAAGTTGTTTATGACTCAATTTGTAGTTTTTGAACATGAATTATTGCAGCTGTGCAACCATTCGAAAAAAACTCAGAAATATAAAAAAACAAATTCGAATTTTGGTGTTGTGTGTGTGCGTGTGTTGCAAACAATATGAAAAATGTGCAAAAATTTGCTCAAAACTAATTTCGCAAAGAGGAAATTAAATATGGCAAAGTTTGACATATGACAGATTTGTTGTAGTTGTTTTTTGCTGTTGCATTTTCTTGATTTTATTTATTTACGACTATGTGCATGAGTGTGCAAGTGTCTATGTGTGTGTGTGTGTGTGTATCTATGTGCAGGCAGCAAGTAATTGAAACATTTCGAGCTGCTGCACTTGTCTGCCTGACAGATGGGAGACGCAGCAGCAAATGTAAATTTTCAATTTCAACGTTTTTCTGCCAGAGTATTTTGACATTTCATTTCAATTCATTTGCTTTCAGTTTCGTTCAAGCAAAACTTTTGCCAGCCAGTTAATTTAGTCAATAAGATGCAAATGATCTCGACGCTGCTCTAATTAGAAAACCCCGTCAGCCAGTTCGTTAGTTTGTCTTGTTTGCAATATCAAAAGTTGTGGTACTTTCAAACTATGCTAAAACTATGCGTAATCTACTCCGATTTGCCGCCAATTTCTGCAGTTAATTTTTGCTGCTGGCATTGGTGTATTAGCTTAAAAAGAAGTCGGATTTGAGGTTCTTTCGCATATGAAATATTAAGTACGATTATTTCGCAGTTAGAATTACATTTTTGAATTCGTAAGAATAATCTATAGAATATAATGCTTCATTAAAGTTAGTTTAGCTAGTTGACCTATGTGGGAATATATCGTTACAAGTATTTCAAATTTCCTTACGCTTTCTTAATTGAAATGCAATCGACGAATCTGTTGGAGTTTTGCTAAATGCATTCATGCCGAGGTTGAAATGTTGAGCACATTCCTATAAAAGAATGCATTACTGTGCCGTGGCTCCCTTTTGAATATTTGTTTTTGGTCGAATTTGATATGGCAAGCGGCGCTGACAAATGACGTGCAATTGATAATTGGATAAGCAGTGCTTTAAATTCTCGTCATTTGATTGAGGGCTTTTATATGCATATATGCAATATATGTATACTCATTTGCGTTCGTTTGGAAAATGTAATCAAATTAGCGGCAAATGTGCAATTGTTCAAGCGCCCGAAACCGAACCACATACATACATACATATATGTAATATTTGTTTGGGCCAAAACTAACTAGTGTGTTTGCCGTTGGCCGAAAATGTGTTCATGGTTGACTACTTATCGCTTAATCACATCAGAGCATCAGAGAGGACCAGTGTCGGGGGCCATAAAACATTTAGCAACACGAAAGCGTTATGGTTACTGCTACTGCTACTGCTACTTTCACCCAGACATCAAAGCCAATCAAAACGACATTTCAATAATATCTGAGCACTACAATCGCATCAGCAATAGGAGGCGGGCAGGGCGGTAAGGGCGGTAGGAGTGCAAAACTCACACAGACAAACATAGACATTTATGTACAAATGTTGTAATGTGGCATGAGTTGTGTGTGTTCTTTTGTTGTGGAATGGGATTTTTTGGGGGTGGCACACAAACGATTTGTTCGCAAATATCATGAGCATGAGCTCACTAACAGCTGACAGGACAAACCAAAGAGCCACAAACACACGCAGGCACACACACACAGGCACACACACCCAGGCAGACAATGATGATTGTGGGTGGGGTGGCAATTGTGTCAAACGAGACTTTCGCTTTTCAACAAATGTGTCCTTGTCCGAAAAGCAACAAGATATCATATATATATAGATATATATATACGTGTGTGTGTGTGTGTGTGTGCTTGTATTAACCATAACATAAAGATAACATAAAGATATTTCCAAGCACATGAAAATTGTCGGCGCTAGAAAATATTACAGCCCCAGGAACAAATTATCAAAATGAATGTTACTTCTTTTTGCTTCTGTATTGCATAACGGCTAAATTTGGACTATTCTTATGATTTTTGTTAATGTTGTCACAATTTTTGCAGCTGCTCTCATTTTAATCACATTCTGCCGCCGATTGATTTGCCTTCTTATTGTCACAGGTGCAACCATCTGTACTTTCTGGCTCAGGCTCAGTTGGCAGCGGGCATTTTATGTCATCGGCAAGTGGGAATACTTTCGTCAACATGATCGGCGCCGGAGGTGGAGCAGTGCAGCTCAAACTTTCCTCAATTTCGTCACATTTACAACTTTCATTGTCGTCTACTTCGTCTACGGCGTCTCCTTCGTCTTGACCCTCGTCTTCGGTTGCAGTCTTAATCGATTGCGTTGCTGAATCATCATTCGGGCACGTGGCTCGCATATCTTCTGCGTCGGACGGACTCAAATCCAAGAGGCAGTTGATCTCATCCATATCAATTGAAATGGGCCCGGCTTCCGGCAGTGGTTGACTCTCCTCCATTCTACCACAATGACGGCAACACACTGAGCACACCTGCGATGCGTTATCGTTTTTCAATGTTGACAGCTGCGCCGAACCAGTCATTCCCCATTCTCCATCGGAGGCTTGAGCAGCTTTATCGACGGACTGGGGAATTTCCTCACATTTTTCACTCGGAGGCACTGAGTACTCGGTGACGCTCGTCGTAACGCTGAAATCTGCGTAAGCATTTTTACTGTATGCCTGCGAACATAAGTCAATCTGCTGTTCGTAGTCGACATTCAACCCGTCCGCTATCTTCTCCAAGTACGCCTCACTTGTGATGGGGCAATCCTCTAAAGCGGACCTCACATCCACTTGTGGACAGTCACAGTCACAGTTGTCAGCCGATGCATCAGATAAGGTCAACTCGTTGCCATATCTGGCCAGCATTTCGATCAGCACAGCATTCGTCCAACCATAGCCCGACTGATTTTGGCTTTCAGCACCACCGGAAGCATCGCCAAATACTTCACAATTGTACTGCAAGAGGTGTGTTAGGTTTTGATGTTTGATTTTAGGGTTGAAGTTGGAGAAGTTAGCTCACCTTCTCGTACATGACACCCGTCTGGGAATAGGCCTCATAGTTGGTTCTGAGCCAGCGCGTGCGCCATTGCTGAGCCATATTCGTGGCCTCGGGTGTGCCCAGATTATTGAGGCCCTCGATCAGCATATACATCATTGGTGGCCATACATTGGGATAGTCCCACTTCTGGCCAGTGTTGTTCAGTGTGTGCGGCACACCACCCGGAAAATTATCGAGATTATTTTCCTCAATATAGGCCAACACAGACTTTGAGATCTTCTCCGTATCCGCAATGGGATAGGCATGCAGCCAGAGCGGCGATAGATTTGTAACAACAAAATAATCACGCTGTATTCGATTCTTCACATCAAAGTCCAGCCAGACGCCACGCTCCTCATTCCACAGCACCGCCGTTATTGCCTTGATCAGTCCACAGGCAGTTTGACGATAATGTTGCGACTTTGTCGGATTGTCGGCCAGCACATTGAACTCAGCCAAGGTTTTACAGTTGCGGAACAGTATGCAATTGAGATCGACGGGCACGATCCAGGTTGTCTTGATATTGGCCATGGTGCCCACATTGTTGCCACACGGCGAGACATACCATCGAGAGCTGAAATCCTGGCCGGACTCGCAGGCAGCCTTCAGGTGGGCAAAGTGTTCGCTCTGCTCCTCATCCGTGCAGAAACTGGACGCACTGGCCACATCGTCGCGATACGCTTCGGGTCGCGGTCCCGTTGACTTATCGCGATATTGATACATTGTACGACCCTCGACCTGCACCGCATGATTCTTGAGAAAGTTATCCATTTCGACTTCGAGCAGTGGCAGTGCTCTGACGGCATACTTTTCATCACCGGTTATCTCCACATAGGACTTAACCATGGCTACCAGCATCGGCGGATGCGATCGGCCCCAATAGTAGATGCGTCCACCTTGTGGCACCGATTTATACTGATGCACCAGATACAACAGGTTATCAATCATGCCACGCGCTGTCTGAGCCATGCCGCTGTACAGCAGTCCACGGACAATCCAATAGGTGTCCCAGTAGTAGAATTCATTGAAATTAGGGCCGGGCACAATTAACGGATTGGGCACATAGACCAGGGAGTAGAGCAATGGGCTCGTCCTAACGCAATTCTTTATGGTGCGACCGAGCTGCTTCCAGATGCGATTCAAAACGGAACCGAATCGTTTCAATTGCGGATCTTTGATATTGCAGAGAAACGCCGGTTCACTGCGCCAATCCGGTGGACTCCAATACTCCATCTCCGAGCCCGGCTGATCGAAGTGATTCTCGACAAAGTTCGACAGATGCTTCATCGAAGTCTCATTCCGCTTCGACGAGCTAAACAACTGAAAGTCGGCGAGAATACGTTCCGGGGAATATCGGCAGTTCATATCCACAAAGTATTTACTATCCTTAAACACTCCCGACATTTGTACCGCCCGCAGCAATGATCCGCAACAGTAAATGGCTCTTAAGAGATAAATACCCATATGAAATACAAATGTGGCCATCAGAGTTGAGAACTTACCCATTTGCACCGGCCAGATGCACCTGGCCACATTCACTGCATTTGCGAGAAGACATTTCGACTAAATAAGAAGTTGGTATGTGAAAATTAAGAGCTGATTAAAACCAAAGGCAATTTGGAAAAAAGAAAGCAAAAACCGGAAAAAAATGACAACTAAATTATAGTAAACTAATGTTTACAGAATTTTGGAGAGAACACAACATTTGTATTTGCTACTGGGACTATAAATCAAATGCAAAGCATAACAACATCCATTATATTGACCATTAAAACAAATTTGTCGACATTTGCCATTTGGAGTCAACAATGAATGCTACCCGCCATAAATCAGCGTAAATAGACAGGAAGCGCCTTAAAATCTGCTACACACAAATGTGCCCCGCTACTTGGCCATACATTTATTTGAAATTATCATAAATGTTTTGCCCCGCACCTAAAGTCCTAACCCCCCTAACCCCCCAGCCCCCACACCCTCAAAGAGGCGTTTTTGCCTAAAAGCTATTGGCCTTTTGTCCATTTGTAATTTCCAGACAATTTATCAAACAAGCGAACTGAAGGGCAAACCAAGACGGAAAATACGGGAATCGAAATGGCGCAGAAAATGCGCTTCAAGTGGCCACATGAACCAAAGCGAAACTCGATTTCAGAACTGATGGCACAAAATGAACCCACCCAAACCCAAACCCAACCCAACCAACCAGTGGACAATTGAAATCAGACGCGGGCACCACTTCATACATTTTTGCCATCCAATGCAAGTTTTTTGCGTTCCATTGTCGAAACTTACGCAAAAAGTATTCAGCATCGAAATTAGGCATGTTCGGCATTTGAGTAGTCTGCAAAGTTTTTGTTTTAAGCGAGCAAAAAAATGTGCAATTAAATTCGATTTTAAGTTTAACTTGGCGACTGCGGTGCGTGTGTTAAGGCTCAAAGGATATGCGAGAATGCCATTTGCCCAATGCCAATAAAACGCACTGAATAATTAAGGCACCTCCTTCAAAAGTGAGCAATGCAGCCAACTTATTTACACGCAAGCACTGAGAAAAAAAACAGTCAAACAATCTGAGTGCTTATTACAAGTAGACTAGTAATTCAATTGGCGTTTTATCCTTTCGCAGTTATTAATTTCGAATAAGTATTGTGAACTGATCTTTGCGGGAATTTTGTAAAAATTCTTTTGCACGGAGAAATGGAAATTCTTTTGAAAGGCTTATCGACTTTTGTTTTGAGTGGTGGCATACACAGGATATGATGTTGACACTTGACTCGAAGCGATAGCCAACGGGAGGAAGCATTGATCAACTTAACGAGCCGAGCAGCAGCGGCTAATTGAGTATTCTGCTTTTAAGTGGCGCCACAGCCAGTTGTTCTGTGAACGCACTTGTGGCAGTTGCAGCTTTTGAGCGTGAGGCATGTGGTCAACGGCTCCAACGCTCACATAAATTAATAAGTTGGCTTAAATTAATTGAAATGAAAAAGCTGAAAGCAGAAAGCATCTCAAGTTGGGGCGACAACTGCGCTTAAAGCACAACCCAAACTGAACCAATCAATCAAAATTGCAGCTGCCTTGGAGCGTTGAATACTGACTGAATCACGTAACGCCAGCCAGTCAGTCAGTCAGAGTCAGCCAGAGTCAGCCAGAGTCAGTCAGCCAGCCATTCCAGGACGCATGATAAATTGTCAAACGCGCTGTCGTTTGTCTGCAGCGATTTAAAAACTACTTAAAATGTAAATGTTGTTTCGCCGTTGTCGCTGCCTGTCGGAGTTGGATGGTTTTTCTTTCATTTTTGGTTTTTTTTTTGTGTTTTTTGTTTTTTTGTTATGCACACGTCGCAGCGCAGACTGTGAAAATCATGTTGTTGACTTTGAAAAAAATATGTGTAAAAATGCGCTATTGTAAATAACAGCACATAAACACGCAGCCGGAGTGTCTGACACCGAGTCTGAAATGGACTGACTTGGCTAACTGACTGACTGGCTGACTGACTGACTGACTGACTGGCTGACTGGCTGACTGGCTGGCTAGCTGGCTTGCTGAATGAATGAATAACTGCCTGAGAGAGTGATGACAGCGCATTGTCAACAGTCAGCAGCAAAGATACACACAAACATGTATGTGCCACGCCTCTTTTGTTGTTAACAAATACATTAAATTTGGAGTGTTAAGCATGCACTCGGAATTCACTCACTAATTGTTTGTCTCCACACACTCATCCCATCGGATGCTGCCTGCTTCTGTGATATACTTGTCAGCCGTAAAATAGGCAATGATACTGATACATTCTGATACATATTTAATAAGGTTGCAAAAGTTATATCAGCTGCAAGTTGAATGTTGAATGAATAACAGCTTTGCAACTGCTGATTTCAATTTATATTTGCAATTTACCTTTAACTAAAATAGTTTTAACACCTGCCAGAAGTCATACATTAAGAATGGGTTTCATCTGTACGATCGTCGAGCGTGTCAGCAAGTTAATCATTATAATCAGTATAAACTTTAAGTGTGTGTCTAACAAGTTCCAGTCGAACTAATCGCATCAAGTTTTAGCCAAATTGCACAGAGTGTGGTCAAGTGAGCTATAAATTCGGCTGTCAAAATACTTGACAATTGATTAATTGAAATTGGCTTTAGAAAGTTCGCTGATAAGACAGTCAGTCGTCGTCGTCGCTAGGGGAAATGGCCTGTCAATCAGCCAAAAACCAAATTGGCTCACACACACACAACACACACACAACACACACGAACACACACATTACGCAGCATGTGGTCATTTGTTGATGAGCTAAACTTTGAACAAGAAGACATGTCTGGCACTCGTAGAGGGAGTCTCATCAAACAAAGGACCCAAACGTTCAAATTAATCGAGACTAGTTAAACAGCAAAGTTTGCCTCTAACTATATATATATATATATGTTATGTACCATATATATTTATCAGTATATATATCAGCTGCTGATGTTGTTCTTTTCCTCATATCAAGCTGACAACTTAAATTGTTAGTTTGGCCGATAAGCGCAGGCACCCGCTTACAAAGGGTGCCACAACCCCTGACCCCGCCTGTGTGTGTGTGTGTGTGTGCGGAGGGGGGCGTGTATAACAATTTTATTTATTTCACCATTTTTTTATGTGCGGCTGCGGCACACGCGCCACATGCCAGCGACAAACAAATAAATAAAAATCCAGTTTCGGACTGCAACAAAAATACGAAAAAGAGCCAAGTTGCCAGCAAAAGTCTCGACCGGGGGTCAGCGTGTGGAGCGTGTGTTTTACAAGTCTATTAACTTCAAGCGCTTATCTAATGCTGACAGCAAGTTTTTCACTTTGCCAAAGTTTTTCTTGCCACAAGCACACACACACACACATACACACACACAGCAAACGCAACTTCCGCTGCTGCTGCTGCGTTTCCGCTGCAGGGGGTGCGCGGGGGATGAATCTTTGCTGGTATTAACTTGCCAACTGCCAACTGGCAACTGGCAACAGTTCAAATGTTGTAGCAAATGCCGCACATGTCAATCATTTGTTGCGCCATTTTTCTGCTCGCCGCCAAAGCTGAATCTGATAGAGCAAACGATAGCTGAACTATGCATAATATATATGGCAGCTCATTTCCTTTCAATTTGGTGTTGCTGCGACTTGCCACATTGGGTGTGTGCTAGATTGACGCCACACTCAAGCTGAGCATGTATCATTTATATTTTTATGTCACAAGCAAGCAGACTATAGTCGAGAGAGCTCGCTTAGCAGATACTCCGAAAGCGGCTGTTAAATAAATAGTAAAATTGCTAATTGTAATTTGCTCAATTTGAAAATACGTGTTTCCTTAACAAATGCTGTGTTTCTTGCTGAAATTTCTATAGTCGATCAGTAAAATGTCCAGGCATATTATAAATCATTTAGATATGTCTTTATAATTGCATCTTTTATCGCTATCGCATATCGATTTGTGTCGCTTAATTTCAAATACGTTTTGCTTTGAATCTTTAAGTCTTTGATCTCTAATCTTAATGAGGAATTTGGATGTGATTAATAATATGACTGGGTCTATTTTGTTTGTTGTTTCTCTAAATTCAAAGCATTTATTGTGTGTGAATGCGACTTAATCGATTTCGCGTTGAAGTGCTAACTGATCGAGAGAAAGCGAAAAGTGCTGAAGCCAATTGTTAACTTTCACACTCGATGGCCGCAGATACTTGTGCTACCGATAAGGCACGAAAGGATACAACTTGTGCTGACCACACACACACACACACACACACACATCAGACTCGTAATGGGTCAAGTGTAGTTGCATCGAGAGAGAATTTTCGCTTCATTAAGCACAAAACTGTTTTACAACCGCAACTCAGAACTTGACCAAGTTTTGCTGTCTGCGCTCTCGAACTAAATAATATTTATGAGCTGGCTAAATGGTTGCCATCAGTTAAGGCATCATTTGAGCCACTTGCAAGTTGCAACTTGCAACCAAGAGAGAATTTCTTCTTGGCCAGACGACACTATTGCCATGAAGAACGTTGCACATTATTGTTATTAGTTGCAGGTTGGGCAGCACATAAAAAAAGTACAACACTAAATAGCAGCAAGTTGAGAGAGTTGCACTTGCTTACACTGTTGCATAACCAACAAGCAAGCAACAGTAGCAGGAACAACAACAATAACACCAACAACAGCAACAACAACAGCAACAGCAATGTCATCAGAGCACAATGCTTTGCTGATGCTATCTGAGCGTATTGTTGTTGCTGCTGCTGCTGCTGCTTCTGCTGCTGCCACTGTTGCAGCAACATGTTGTTGATGATAATGCTGTCGTTCGACTATGTTGCCATTGTTGTTGAACAGGAGCAGCATCAGCAGCAGCAGCTGTGGGGGCATCAACAATAACGTCAGCTTAACTAAATGAAGGTCCAAGTGTCATGGATGCTGCTCAACTTTGACACGACTGCCGCCAGTTGGAGTTGGGTTTTAGGGGGGCTGGGCGGCTGGGGTCTAGGTCTTTGGTCTGTGGCATCCTGGCTGGTGCTTTGTGTGCTGTGATTGCAAGTAAGCAAGTAACTTTTATGTCAATCTCTGCTTGTAAAACTTA